ACCCAAGACGGGGAGGGCGGCGCGCAGACTGGCAGCAGGTCTTCTTGGATCTGCCGAGTTCTCCGATTTTCCCTCCAGCCTACATCCTGTGTTTATGGTCGGCTTATTCTAATAGTCTAATGAGCACCCTCCGATTGGTTTTATTTAAATTTGTTTTGTTAAAACTTTGGGGGCCAGCCTGAACCTGATCTCTCGTGGACCTGGAATGTGTCAACTGGTGGGGAAAAAAGAACGCTTCCCATAGTGCTTTGGGAGGAGGTTTCAGAGGACCTAGAGGCAAAAGAGTGGAAAGTCTCCTGGCTCTGGTAGCTTGGGTCACTAAGAACTGACAGGGTCTCTAATTTGGCCATGGCAACCGAGAGGCGAAGTCAGGGCATGAATCAGTGGCACTGGAAGAGAGGAAAGTGAGAGAGGGTGAGTGAGCTGTCCTTGTTGACCATCTTCCCTTGATCAGTTCAAGGCAAAGTGGAGCAAATATGTGCCTCAGTCCCAGGGGTCTGGGGAAGTCAGGGCAAGAATTGTCCCCTCCCTGCCTGTGCTGTTTTGTATCTGCACCCTTGGCTGTGTCTTGGGCAAGGTCTTGGGTCTTGGTAGCCAGGACCTCACTGTTCATGTGAGAAGCAACAGGGGGTGAGTCTCTGTAGCAGCATGTCTGTCGGGGCCCCAGATCTGCCCCAACCTAGCTCTCAACTCCCCTGCTGCTTATGTGCCCCAAATCCTGCCCATCCCAAGGGCTCTTCCTCCTCCCCATCTGGGGCTCTTGTAGGTGGAGGCGTCTCTGTGTGCTGGAGCAAGCGGAGCTCCCCAACACCATTCTTCTGGGGAGGGTTACAATAACTATTTGCAGCTCCCAGTATTGAATCATTTTTGCAATGGCTTTAGGGGCAAAACAGGCTCACACAGTTGTAAGTTCCTGCACTGGACCCTGCCTGGTCCATCCATGGTCCTGGCAAGAATGGTTCCCTACAGGCAATTTTCCAGTACAATCTTCCCTAAAGGATGGGGTTCCCAGTACCTCCCTGGGCAGGCTGTGCTCCAGCCTAAGGGTGAAGTTACATGTTACACTTAGACCATACTAAGGCGCTTAAACCATGAGCACCCACAGTTTAAACCGCGTTAACTCATGCTAAGTGCCCTCTGAGCATCTCAAAGGTACACCGCTTCAGGCCAGGGTTACCTCTGGGCTGTGCTACCCAGTTCGTTTTAGGGTAACTCCAGTCTGCTCCACAGAGATAAAACGAACAATTTGCAGTCCTCCATCATCCCAGGGTGCCCTGCTCCTAGTCCCTCCCTCATCAGGGATAGATACCATGTATCCTGGCCCCTAACCACACCCCTGCTCGCCAGCCCTCTAGTGGCAAGTCAGAGCTGTACAGGCAAGAAACGGTACTAACCCTTAACTGACGGCTTATAGCATGTTTGAACTTTAACACTGCTTAAAATGCCATGGATTTAGTATGGGCTAAGTGTGAGGTGTGTCTTCACCCTAACACAGAACATTTCCCAGTAAATGCCCCCACTCCCCTCTGTTCATCCTACACGTCTGCCGGGCATTTTAACTCTAAGTACCTCCCCTTAGATCAGCCTGAACTCTTCCTGTCCCTTTCCAAAAGCACGCCCATTGGGATCATGCTTCTCCTCCTTGGGATTTAAGCCAAAACCCCTTGAACCGTCCCTGCTTAGCTCAGGCTGTCCAGCTACTTGCACATTTATGGTGCTTTTCTCCCATTTTCCCCACCTCTTTTCTCCCCTCTCTCTGGCATGGAAGAGCCTAGCACTAAATGCAGTGTTTTCGGTGTGGGCTCAGCAGCCTCCAGAAATGCTCTCTCTCAAATAGAGGCATCTCATGTAGCACCTCTCCTATGTTCAGTGGTTGGCCAAAGAGGCTCTCTCTTCCCAGATCACAGTGGATCGCTTTAGATCACAGGTCATTAGTGATTTTGGATTCCTCAGGTGAGAAACATGTCACAGGGCCTGAGTTTCTGAGGGTGGCAATTTGAGACTTTCTGGAAAAATCACGCCGTAGCTTCAGTTGGACACCAAAACCCACCATTCACTTGCAAACTTGTCAGCCTCACTGTTAATGGGCATGCTTGCATGGCACGGGTCCCAACCCTCAGCTGACTCAGCTCCTAAGGCCCTATCCCAGCATGCACTGCAATCCATGTCAAGTCTAGGATGTGCTTCCTACACTCAGTCTCTTTGGTTAGAGCCCGGGTCAGAAATCCACAGGGCCGATGAGCCACCAGATTCAAGATGTTGAAGGCAGGGCCAATGTGCCTAATAAAAGCTCTGGGACCATCTCTAGTTGGTTTTTGACTAAAGAGAGACGCGGAGAGACCTGCACAGTACAATAATGGTGGACTTCCCGTTCCCTTGCAGATTCAACCGAACCTCTCTTTGAAATCAGGACTGTCCAACTGGCGGCTTGTGGATCATCACACGTGGTCCCCAAGGGATTAACATGCAGATCCTGGGCTCTTGGTCTGGATGCTGCTCCCCACTTTGCTGCCACTGGAGGCCCCCCCTCTCCTGTGACTTCCATTGCCTGCTCCCTGCACTGCAGAGGAGGAGGGGGTGGCGTAATATGGGCTGTGGGAGCCCCTGCTTGGGGAGCTCGGGGGGATCTGGGGTGCAGCAGAAGCTGCCCACCATGTGCCAGGGGGGCGAGGAGGTGCAGAGGCTTGCATAGGGCGCAGGGGAGGGGGCTTTGTGTGTGTGTGTGTGTGGCTGGGGGAGCGCACACGATACCACAGGGACATGAGTGGTGTGGCAGGAATGGGGGCCATGCAGTGCTGCATGTAGCCCCCCATGGCATGCACTTGGGGTGCAGGTGATCACAGTGGCACGTGGCTAGGAGGCCTGCAGCCCCCAGCCACTCCGAAGCCGGGCAGCCCCGATTGCTGGTTGCAGTTGCATAATGCTGACTGAAATCAACTCCTTTCCAGTCTGAAATGATTTCTGTTAAAAGAAAACAATACAACAAACCCCTTTGTTCTGATTGCCCTGCTGGTTGCAGTTGGATCATTTGGGTTCAGTGGGATGGCTGTTAATGAAAAGGGGCCCATTTTCTAAACGCGAGGGAAGAAGAACTGCAGGGAAGAGGCATGTGATGAGAACAGCCCGGGGGTCACAGCAGTCACTGGAAAAAACTCTCACTGTATTCAGGGACTTGCGCCAAGCCTGGACTAGCTCTTTGTTCTCCACATGCTGATGGATTCTGTCTCCACTGAAACCCACCCCCGGGCTCCACAAACCTATATGGGGTCCATCATTCACACTTAGCCATGAGGGGATGGGCACTCTCTCCACTCGATGCACATGGAAGGTCGCACCCCACAGCTGTTGGGGGCTGCACGGAGCTGGGGAGAGTCAGGCCTCCTGACCACGGCGGGGGCTGTCAGAAGCACTGCCAAGAGATTCACCAGCTGTGCCAAGCACCTCCCTGGTCCTACGGCTAAGAGGAGCAGATCTTATCCCAATCAAAGTGATGCTGCTAGCAGAATGAAGAAGGAGATGCTGTAATAAAAATGGACCTTGGGCCAAACCTCCCTGGAGATAATTCATTCTTTTACTCAGATCGACTTCCACGGATGCCCAGGAGAGTTTGACCTCTCTGCTGAACAAGGGCTTTGGGGACCTGCTCTTGCTAGAGCCATCAGCGTATCATGAGAGCGTAGCAAGGTCCCCGACCTGCGCAGCCTGCTGGTTTTTGCATGCTGCCTCTCATCCAAGGGTCCTAAAGCACGGTGTGGATATGGGGCCAAATCTTCAGCTAAGGCTGTCTGAGCCCAGCAGGGCTCTGCTGATTTAAGCCAGAGGACAAGCTGATCTATCGTACGAAGACCTGTAGCATTCCCCAGAGTGGAGAGAAGGTTGCTCTTATTACAGCGGGGTCCTCAACTTCACGTTTCCTGAAGTAGACTTCCTGCTGGGGGTGTGCACACATGAACAGGGTTGGGGACTGCTGCGGCAGAGGTTAATGAGGCCTCAGGGTCCCACTCTAAAACAGGGGTCACAACTCTGGCCTGCACTGGAGCCCCTCAGGCTGGAGGTGTTGGATCCATCATATTATTGCTATTCATAGGACGAGGGGAAAGGAAACTGCCTTCTCCTTGGGCTGTGGGAACATCATTGCAAAGCGAGCCCTCCCCACACAAAACAGGACGGTTGGCATTATTTACTTTGCAGAGCCAGCTTAGGTCTAAAGGTCGGCTCCGACACGGCAGCTGCTCTGCTCCCAAGTGTCCCCTGTAATCACAGCGTGCTCCCGGGTCCTGTCATTTGCGCTAAAAAGAACGGAATGGAGAAACAGAGGTTACAAGGAGTTGCACGGCAGACGCGGCTGCGCTGCTGGAGACGCTTGCCCTGTGCCTCCCTCCCTCCATCCGCCCTGGGACCTTCTCTTGAACAGCGACCTGATCTCATTGCAGTTGGGAGGGTGCTGCTGCAGCGGGCCTGATCCTGCCCAGTGACAGGGGAGCAGCCTCATGTTCAAGAAAACACAATAAGCAGGGGTGCTGAGTCTGGGGTGGGGTCCCTGATTGGGTGGTTATGGGGGAATGGGCCATGCAGCTCCCAAATTCCCCTGGCTTGCTACCAGGCATTGAGATTCACAGCTCCCATCAGCAGGAGGATGCCTCTGCCACCCCCCTACACTCTATCCACTTTTAACCTGTGCTTTATTAGCAAAGGGCACTGGGCTTAGATTGGGGGTTCTGGTTCAGCCCATCTCTAGCTGGTGAAACCTTCAGCATAGCTTTGCCCTGACAGCTTTATGCAAATAAAAGACCTTCAGTGCTTAGGAAAAATAAGGTGACAATCGGCATGCTTGGTATGTGTGACATGGTGATTGGTATGTGTAACTTGGCAAGCGCTGGACAGGTGAGGCGATGGAAGGGTGTTTATACAACCCCCACTCCCAAAGCGACTGCAAATTAGTGGCGGGGAGGCTAGAGACTCATAGGAGGCTGCTGCTACAATGCAACCATTGGAGTTTTTTAACTTCAGTGGGATTAACCCAGGAGGCCAGCAGCTCCGTTGGGTGAAGCAGCTTGTGAAAGGCACCTTGCTGGAAGGGCTAATGCTCTCTGGAAAACATCTACGACTATCTTGGACCAACGGTCCCACGTGCAGTGGGGTAGAGATTTCACAGACCCCCACCAGGGAATCCTCCCAGAGAACTGTTATTGTGATGTCTTGGACAGTCCTTGCCCTGCAGTCCTCTCCATAGCAAAACACCTGCCAAGACCCTTTGGCGATAACCCACTTAACCGCCCATCCAGAGACAGAACAACTAGGCCTTCATACAGTCAAATGCCCCATGCTAGGCTTTTGCTCCCAGAAAGAGCGAGAGAGGAGATGGCATGGGTGTAATGGCAGAGAAGTGAGCTATGGATCACTTCGTCTGAACAGTACAGAAACAGTTTGAGCTTGGGGTCCATTTAGGGGTAGCTTCCCAAAGGATGTGATGAGACCTCCACAGTCTCAGGCACTTAGACCTGAAGAGGACCCGGTACCATATTCAGGACAGTGAGACTCTGTTCTCAAAGGGGGGTGGCCTACCCCTGTTCCCACTGATGTTGGAGGGAACATTAGCACGAGGCTGGCTCTTGTTGGTGGGGAGAACTCCAGAAGATCACTGCCTTCATCCATTCTCTTTCATCCTCTTAGCACTAAAGACTGGTGTCTTCTTCTCCCAGCTGGTCACTTTAATTTTCCCCTCTGCTGGAAGGGTATGAGTGCACAGTGCAAAGCAAGTGCTGTGAGGGGGTCTGGCAGCCGTTACATTTGTGGTGTGACTCACGTGTTAACCGCACCACAAATTGCAACGTGCCATGTATCCCGGCCATGCTATGTCACCATAAACTGCACATCAGCCACAAAGATGTTCCACATATAACACAGAACATATTTGTAGCTGGTTTGTACGGCGCCTTAAATTGTAGGTGTCGCATGTGTTCCAGACCTAGGGTTACCTTGGCTGATGCCAACCATCAGCCAATTGTAGCATCGCCTGCAACAGCCCTGGGTCCCAGGCCTACCCCCAGCCCAGTCCCTGGGGATCAGGCTGGGGAGACCTCCAGGTGGGTGACTGAGATCTGAAGAATTTTATGCCCCGTTGCAAACACTGCATGTCCTACCATGCATGTACAGAAAGGCAGGACACACCATTTTGGGATGAGGAATAGAATTCCTAAGATCCTGGTTGCACCCTTAGTTGAACGAGGGACAGAGAACTGCTATACTCGCTGCACAACAGTTAAACCCTGCTGGGCAATGCACATGATCTCAAATGACCAAGGCTGACATGCAGGAGAATACCACTCTCCACAGGAGACAAGGCAGGGTGCTCTGGGATGGTGCAGTGGAAAGTGATAACCCGAGCCCTTGGCAGAAGGAAAGAAATGACATTTAGTGTCATCACCTCTGCACACTTCCTGGGGACTTTGACCCTGACTCTGAGGGCCCGATGAAGTAGCTGGAGACACTTGGCCTTAAAAAAAAAAAACAAGATATGTGAAGTATTGATTTGGTGTGTGAGAAATGTGGGTGGGGAGCATAGTATCACTATGCACTATGGCAGAGCAGAGAAGGTCAGTGAGCATACTCTCCAGCAGCTGTCCTGAAGGGGATACATTTTGAACCCCCTGGCCCATTCAGTGCCTGCCTCCTATGGACCTCATCTCTGTACGACTCTAGCCTCCTACCCTGGCTTTTCAGCTGAGACCAACACTGGGTAGTGGCTCATTTTATTCAGAAACTACAGGAGATGCCCCAAGACCCATCTGCTAGGTCCCCATTCAATACAGACTTCCACAAACAGTCCATGGATGGCAAGGGCTTTCAGCCACAGAGATTGGGTAGATTTTAAACTGGTGGAAAAACCTGATCAGACCATTGAAGCCCCGGGAGGCAGAGCCATTCACAGCAGTTGGGCTCTGCTCCAAAAGCCTCCATAACCCAAACCAAGCCTCGGAGCCACCCCAGCACGATGAACAAGAGATCGGGCCAAGCCCAGGCATCAACCAACCTCCTCAGAGTCCTCTTCCCTCCTTCCGCGGAGCAGAGTTCATATCTGGCCTAGTTTACATGGTGCAATGCAGTGCTGCACAGATGCCTCAGTGAGCTCCCAGACAGCTGGCTTGGGTACTGGAAGTGATAGCATGGTGCTGTGTGCAGGCTAATGTATGCTGCTCCTCAATTAACCTGGGCACCATGCCCTGCTGGCATGATTAGCACTGCTTCTAGGACCCAAGCTAACTTGCTTGGGTATCCTGCTCCACGTAGACTTGAGGCCCAAGGTGTATTACACTTATCACTCAGGTCACCAAGATGTGATCCTAGTCCACTCTGCTCAGCTCGCTAGAAAATAGTAAATAGCAGGCTAAGTTGGGTGTCAGCCACCAGCCCTGCTTCGAACCCTACCGGTACCTCTGGGTGAGTTAAGGACTGGCCTGATGGGATCCATGTAGGGTTTTCTTGGGTTCGGATCCCTGAAAAGGTGTGCAATCCAAATTAAAACCCAGCAATCCGAATTAAACACAGGGATTGGCTCTAAGGACTTGATGAAACCATTAAGAGTCAAGTGCCTAAATAGTCTGTGAGAATCTGAATTTTAGTGCCTGGTTATTAGGAGCTTTTCTGTTTTCTTTGTGTTGGAGGTGAGAAGGCAGGAAGAAAACAGGCTTCAAGTTGCGGAGTAACACCCATTACAACCTGCCCCCGGGGCCACTTTTCTTTCTGTAGGCACCCCAAAGGACATCCACACCACCCCTCCACCCTCCTGCAGAGAAGGCCGGCTCTCATGCAGAGCTCAGCTCCAATGCCCTTTGTGATAAGCTGTATTTAACAGAGTGAAGTGCTATTCACTGTGAACAAGGGCACCAGGATACCGCTCTCCCGCTTTTTAAAAAGTTGTTTTTTTTCCAAGTCAGTGAAAACGAGCACTTGGTGAGAGGTATTTGTTCTAAAGCAAGCGCTCCCCCTCCATAATTTTTAAAACAATTATTTAAGAAAACCAAAATAAACGAAACCCCATAACAGTTATGATAGTTTGTGAACTGAAACAAATTAGTCTCTCAAATTCTAGCTTTATCTTGAAAAATAAGCGTTTTGACCAACCCCCAACCCCGCCTCCCCAAATTTGACTACAGCATAACGAATGCAACGTTTCAATGTCAATGGGCGCATTTACACAAGACGCTAAACGCGCAGTAGATTAATTCTACTGCCCATTAGGGTGTCACAGCAAGAGCTGTGCTAATGCACAGTAGAATTAGTCTAGTGTGCACTAGCATCACTAAAAAGGCACGCGCTGGCGCTACCATAGTGCCGATTACTGTGTATTCAGTTCGTACCTGTCATTACAGATACTAACCTCAATGCGCTGTACCTACAGCATATCCATGCACGTGTAGACGTGCCCGGCAACTTGTTTTGCAAAAATAATTTCCGTACCTGAAGAGGACTCATTGCATTTCAGGGAATAAAAAGCTTTTCCTTTGGTGGTAAAGGGGAGGAGGGGGAGGAAATCTTTCACTTAAAAAGGACTCAAAGACTGAAGTGAACTCTTACACAGTCAAGGTTTTATGCAAGCTGGATGCAAAAAAGAAAAAACAAAAACTCAGAACTTGACCCTGAGCCTTTAAAGATGGACTTTTGCTGCTGGGTGGAGGTGAGACCCCAGCATGAGAGTACTTCACAGAAATAGGCTGCTCATTAAATCCCATGACAGATGCTGCTCTTGCAGCGCTCTTCACCCGGCTGGCACCAAGAGAGGCCAGCTCCAAATGAGCCTCACAACCTGATTTCTTAATCAGCGAGGCTTAGATAAGCTTCAGAGCAGCTGATGAACCTTGGGATAGTTATCCCCATTCTCCCAAGCCTGCCCCTACCACAACTTTGATGTTAAGTCACTGATGAGAGAACTTTATCCTTCCTTCAAAATACATGCTGCCGAATAAAGACCTCATTGATTTAATGAGCTCACATCTTTTTAATGAACCTCGGGGGTTGGCTGCAGTGGAGTTTGCTCACACGTGCCAGGAACTGGGGGGTGAATGCAGCTTTGCCTATGGTAGACAGTAACTCCTTACCATGCTAAGGAATTGGCTGCAGTATATTACTCCCCTGGTCCTCTACAGGATGCAAAAACCATGTGTCATAGGTCCAGTATTGTTAAGGGAGAATCCTCCTTATTACTATAAGCTGCAGAGTGACTGCCCTAGGAGAGCGGGAGCTTTATCCCTGAGGTGCAGCACAAGAACCACTGATATTTTGCAGCGGC